CACCCAGGAAGCTACAGTCGACCACCGCTCCCGGGGCAGAGGGCCCCTCCAGAGGAAACACTGGATTAAAATGAGTAAAAATATAATAAAAGAGCTAATATAAGGGACAAAAGTTAGAAAATAAGTAATAAATAAAATCATATAGACAGTAAAATAATAATATTAAATAATGAAAACACTGCTAAAATATAATCACATAAATCATGCAAAGCAAGCAATAACATATAATCATGTAAAAGGAGAAATAAAACTGTAGTAAATATTTAGATAAAAGCTAACCTAAAAAGATGGGTCTAGAGCCTGGACTTCAAAACATGAACGTTCTCTGCAGCCCTGAGGTCCTCTGGCAGCTCGTTCCAGAGGCGAGGGCCATAACACTGGAAGGACGCCTTGCCGTGAGTGTGTGTCCTGACTTTAGGGATGACCAGGAGACGCCTGCCAGAGGAGCGCAGAGGCCGTGAGGGTTCATATGGTAAAAACAGTTCTGAGAGATAAGAAGGCCCAAGACTGTTAAGACACTTAAAAACCATTAGAAGAACCTTAAAATTGATCCTGAAACATACGGGGAGCCAATGCGATGATTCTAAATCTGGTGTAATGGTGTATGAACCCTTCCTAGAACCTGAACTCAGTTATTTAGTCATCAACGTTTCTCTGTGTGGTATTTTGTTAAATATTCAATGCATTTAGGCATGTTGACATGGTCAAGACGATCTGCAACAGTTCAAACCGAGCTTCAGAAAGGGGAAGAAAGGTGATTGAAGTGACTTTGAACGTGGCGTGGTTGTTGGTGCCAGACGGGCTGGTCTGAGTATTTCAGAAACTGCTGATCTTCTGGGATTGTCCAACACAACCATCTCTAGGGTTTACAGAGAATGGTCTGAAAAAGGGAAAACATCCAGTGAGCGGCAGCTCTGTGGGCGAAATGCCTTGTTGATGCCAGAGGTCAATAGCCTAGTGAAGAGGTCAGAGGACAAGGACCAGACTGGTAGAGCTGATAGAAAGACAACAGTAACTCAAATAACCACTCGTTACAAACAACGTATAGAAGAGCATCTCTGAATGCACACCACGTTGAACCTTGAGGCAGATGGGCTACAGCAGCAGAAGATCACATCAGGAGCCACTCCTGTCAGCTAAGATCAGGAAACTGAGGCTACATTTAGCGCAGGCTAACCAAAATTGGACGATAGAAGATTGGAAAGAGGAAGTCCTTCAAGACTGTTGGAGAACCATTTCAGGTGACTACCTCTTGAAGCTCATCAAGAGAATGCCAAGAGTGTTTAAAGCAGTAATCAGAGCAAAGGGTGGCTATTGTGGAAAAAATAGAATATAAAACATGTTTTCAGTTATTTCACCTTTTTTTGGTTAAATACAAAACTCCACGTGTGTTCTTTCATAGTGTTGATGCCTTCAGTGAGAATCTACCATGAAAATAAAGAAAACACATTGAATGAGAAGGTGTGTCTAAACCTTTGGCCTGTACTGGATGTATAAAATGACAAAAAAGAGAAACTGATTTTTTTTTTAGAATGATCTTACTATAATCTAGCTATCTGGCTAAAATGAAAGCAATAAAAAAAAAGCTGCTTGTTTGAGTAATTTTGGTTTCATGACAAGCCTTCAGATGCAGATCCTTGAGAGATATGATGTCTATTTAGAAGTGTGTAAAAATTGTAAGTAATGACTACGTACTTTTTTGAACCGCCTCTTGAATGAATTAGTTAAATTCATCAAAGTAAGTAATAGATAAAATAACAACAAAACAAAGTTTAGGATCAACTTCAAAACACACCTAACTGGCAGGCTGACATAATAGTGTGGGATTATTACAGTCATAAATAAGGAGGAAACACTTGGAGGTTACAGTGTGTGACAGACATGAATGAATGAGACGGTGACGACACATCAGATGCAGGAACTCCAGCATGCCGTCTTCAGCCTTATAAGGAGAAGATCCTTTTGACTCATTTGTTATCAGACAGACTGAACGACACGCTGACTCTTCAGGGCGATCAGCTGCTGCTCAGTAAAGCTGCAGTCATTATCACCGCCGCACACCACTTCCCTTTTTCATAATGCCTCCAATTTGGAGTTCCTGTCTCCTCCCTTGATTAAGTCCCCGACAACAATCATCCCTTCTTTCTGTCGTCTTTGCTTTGCTTCACACGAGGCAGTTTCTACATCTAACCCTGTTTCAGATCAGAGTTGGCTGTGTGTGCGTGCATGCGTGCGTGCGTGCGTGCGTGCGTGCGTGTGTGTGTGTGTGTGTCAACCTGGCAGGGTGAGTGAGAATGAGGATGGGTTGGGCTTCCAGCTAGAGTAAAAAAAAGAGGAAAACCCTCCCACAGGAAACCAGCGCTCTACTCCACATGTCCTTTTAAGGTAAAAAACTCCCCAAAATGCATCCAGCCTGGGAAAAGAGCTAATATATAGTTGAATTTAAAGCAACAGAAGGAGCTGGTCAAGGCAGGAAGTTTGGGAAGTGCTTTGGAGAAGTGAAGCAAACAAAACACACACGTTGTAATCAGAAGTCACACATACTATTTTCTGACTTGTTGCGTTTTTCCTGCACAGTGGCTGCTTAGGCCACATTTCCATAACATTTCACTATCAGAGAGGTTATATAACAGTGTTATGAGTCACTAAGTCAGTGGAGTGTTGCAGACGTTCACGTCTGTCTGCAGTCTGACTTGTACTGAGGTGAGTGTGGTAAGTGGCCCCCGTGTGCTTTTCCACCACGGGGAAATTGTCTGCAAGTAGGATGACATGGAAACTAGAGGCGTGTCCAAAAATTTCAGGATTGAGGAAGCAAAAATAGACTGCAATTTAGGAATATCGAGCTTCCTGATGTTTCACAAGTAGTATTTTACTCCTAATCTTGGCTTCATTGAACCCTTAGAGGTCAGGTTTTACACACAAACCCAGCCGTGACCGAGGAAACGATGCAAGAGAACAAAGAAAATGTCATTATTTTTGCACGTGTTCTTGGACATTCTGAGATTCCACATTCCTGGATGAGATAAACAAAGGTGACACATATCTGTGGAACGTAAATTATACAATGATAACATCTCTCCATGGCAACAGTGCTCTCACATTGTTCATCTCTAGTTTGCTTTCATGCCAGTTCAATCTCGGAGCTGAAAAGTGCAGATGTCTTCAGATTCACTCGTTTTAGCAGCATAACACAATACTTTGTCAAAACTGTTAAAATCTGATTACTACCATAGTTAGACTAGTGGCTGTTGTGGTTTGAGTTTTGTGAAGGTAAATGAATGGTTACTCTTTAAAGTAGCATTGTGATGTTTCTGATTCAAGGAAACAGCACGTTTGTTGTCTCCACTTATTGCTTTTTGCTACTAGCAGACACCAGGAACATATGTGTACATGAGTGTATGCGTGTGTGCATGCATGCGTGCCTCAGTGGCGCCCCCAGATCTTTTCCATAGGGGTGGCTAGGTGGGGCTAGAGAAAATTTATAGGGTGGCACACCAGACTGGACCGTGTGGTAGCTCAAGGAGAGTTTAGCCTGTGGCAATGCATTGCATGCTCCTTTATTCTTTTTCATTATAAAACAATACGCATCCAACACACCTCAAATCTGACAAAAACTTTCAGGAAAATACATTTCAAACAGTTATTTGGAATGTTATTTATTGTAGAATTTTTAGAACATGTAATTTTTTTAAACAATGATTTCTTAAGTTTTTAGAACAACACAAATAACAACAAATCAGCACAGCCAAATACAAACAAGAAAAAGAAAAACAAATACAGGTACATGAGTTACAAATATATATGTCTGGGTCAAAATATGTACAACGTTTCACATTTGAAGTCAAGGGAAATTAACAGGGGGGGGGGGGGATACAGACATTAATCATGGTGTTTAAAAGCTAAATGTGACCCCCCCTTTATGTAATAACACAGCAAGGTCACGAGGTAAGTGATCAAGCAACGGCTGCCATGTCCTACAGAATGCATTACAATTGCCCTTTATGACGGCACTGAGGCGCTCCATTGGCAGCACCTTAAACATTTCTCTGTACCATTGTGTGACAGTGGGAGGCTGTCTCCAAATCCATTGAAACAGTACAGAACACGCAATTTAATTCACCTGTTGATGTCTTCACAAAAACATCCACAACAACTACAGGAGGGTAGCCCAATCCTGTTCCTGGCGGGCCGGCATGCAGCATTTTTTAGTTTTAACTCTGTTGCAACACACCTGATTTCAGATCAGCAGGTGATTAACTGGCTTCTGCAGAGCCTGATGAACTGCTGCACAGGTGATTCAACCTCTGAATCAAGCGTGCTGGAGCGGAAAAACCACTAAAACATGCTGGATACTGGTCCTCCAGGACCCTGCTATAGAGACTCAAACTTTTGTTTTAAAAAAAAGGGAGCTGGAGAAACAAATATATATTTTAAAATTCAGGACATTTATATACTCATTAACTGTACATTTTTATTGAGTTTTGCATTTATGTCTGATCAAATAATATGAATTTATTGTTTGTGTGATTCATTAATGATTTATGTTATGGTAAATGGCCCATATTTAATATAGCACCTTCTAGAGTCCTGGGACCCCCCAAGGCACTTTACAACACAATCAGTCATTCACCCATTCACACACACACATTCACACACTGGTGGGGATGAGCCACGATATAGCCACAGCTGTCCTGGGGTGCACTGACAGAGGCGAGGCTGCCGAGCACAGGCGCCACTGATCCCTCCGACCACCACCAGCAGGCAAGGTGGATAAGTGTCTTGCACAAGGTCACATAGAACATTGGTCTCTTCTGGTTTGGCCAGTAGGGTGGCCAGGTGTGGCAATTTTCTAGGGGTTAAAAGTGCCACACCTGGCCACCCCTTGGGGCTGCCACAGACATGTTTGTGTGTGTGCGTGCGTGCGTGTGTGTGTGTGTGTGTGAGCCACCTCCTCTTGCCCCTGTTATCTTTTGCCTCTGACATTGTTTACAGATGATCTTTATCCCCTCATCCCACTCATTCAGGAGAAAACAGAGGGCAGACTGTGGGGGACGAGGGAGGGACAGAAGTCAAACTGAGATTTTCTGTCAGCAGCTGTGAAGAGCCTGGAATTAACTAACTTGGCAGGACTTTAAGTCAAAAAGGCACCAAATTACAGTGTAAGTAGATGCAGTCACCCATGAGTTGTGATCATTTCCTGTCTAAATAAGTCCAGGCTGTGTTATTAATTTAGGTCCAGATTTTGCTGTTTTTATTTATTTATTTATTTATTTTACTAATCTTCCAGTCTTCACTTACTCCCTCTGAGTGAACTATTTGACTCTGCAACGTTTGAAAACTTTGCTCTGCTCTCAGTTAGCTGCCAGCTACTGGATCTGCTTCTGCGGGCCGAGAACGTAGTAAGGCAGTAAAGATGCGGGCTGTAAAACATAAACAATTAGCTGTAATGAGCTATAAAGTTCTACAGGGCTGAGGGGAGCTGCAGAGTTGGCTTCACACTGCAGACCACCTCCTGTACATCAGATCTTATGCACAATATGGTGTCAAAGGTCAAACGCATTCAGAGCAGACCTCATGTGTTTCTAAAGGTGAGGCTGTTAGTATTTACACAAAGCTGCAGAGGTTATCTGAGAAGGAAGAATGTGTGAGGTCAGCCCACAGCTATTCAGCTGATAGGCTGCTGGGATCTGCCAGCAAAGCCCTGTCAGAGGAATTGTGAAGAGCTTCTACTTCCACCTAGTCATTGGAGTGCAAAGGCCATCGCAAGTGAGATCAACACCCTTTCTGAATTAGAGATGAAAGAAAATGAGAGAAAAAGTAAGCAGAGAACACCATCGCTGCTGATCGCTGCAAACTGAGCTAATCCAACAGCTGTTGCAGATTTCATTAATCCACACTCATCTCAACTGAAACTCATTCTTGGAAGAAATTCATAGAAAAAGAAAAGTGACTGAAAGAAACATGGCCTGCCTTTATTTCTCCAGATTTTCTGGCGGCTGACTTCATCGTCATCTTCAACAATCAGAACATGACCAACCTTCTGCAGAGGTCCTGCCTGAGGCTGCTTGCTGGCTGCCTGTGAGATTGTCCTGCCCTGAAGCAATGTGGGCGTTGCTCTACCCAACCCAAAGGCCTAAAATGTGCTCCTTCTTGGTTTCCCACTCTGCTGTGGGCCTTTGGATCCAGAAATGTATTTTAGAAAAAAAATAAGGATTTAACAGTCATTGTTTTCACCAATGATTATCCTTCTGTCATGGCCTTTCACTGTCACCTTCTGCTGCTCACCTTTACATCATGTTTATTATTTATTGTCATTTTTGTGTTTTTTGAGCATTTCAGGGACCTTTTCATCGGTTTTCTTAGTTTTCAGCCAAGACTATAAGAAAAACCGGGGTGTGACAAAACACACACACAACCACTTTGGTTTTTATTTGTAGGGGCGTCCTCCTTTCTTTGGTCACTCACTTTTTAAATGTTTGTTTATACCGCCCTCTTCTGGACATTCAGAAAATCAAACCTGCCAAATGACTGATTTCATGGACACAGCTCTGAATCCTTCGCATATGTACAGATAACTTCTCTCTAAGTCTAATCAATCTAACGTTATACGTCACTGTGTGGGAACTGTTCTTTACATTTGTACAAAAACGGTGTAATTTTTGCACAAATGTTTTGCATTTGAGGAGCAGCTAACCTTTTAAGAGGTTGTCTAACTGATATCAATAAACACATAATTATCTGTGGTCTCAACGGCAAAATTGAGCTCTGGAATATTTTTCTTACATTTTGTGTAAGAGAATTTTGTTCATGAAATTATTTTTAAATTATAACACTTCTTTAATATTTTCAGAAGTTTTAACCACAATTAACTTTTAAATGTACTAAAACAATATTTATTAGCAATTAAAGAAACATTAAGCCATTTTAACGCCTTAACCAGTTCCTTTAAAAGTGGGTTTCAGTGATGGTGTAGGGAGAAACTTTATCACCTTCAAATAGACAGCAGTCTGCAGTCCTCTACTGACCAGAAACTGCAATTCACAGTTTTGTGGAGTGGGTAGGTGCACTAGGGTGCGCTCTTTACCAGCTAAATTGCTGTTAGCAGTTTACAGCCAGCTATTTGTAAAGCCTAAAAAAAATGGATGTGTTCGAGATAAGCCAGTTCTGCACAGATTAGATCAGCGGTGATCGGCGAGCAGTGCATGCCGGTTAGATTTGTGTCCGACTTGATGCCGACTTGCTCTGACGTCATGCATAACGTAGGCAACGATAACCTCGTGAGATCAAGGCGGCCACAGATTTTGGAGCTGCAGTTGCTCTCCATCGGCTTCTAAACCTAGGGGATGACGGGAAATGCCTGGCTTTCACCTGATCTAAGATCTGATTGGTTCATGTTTTGATCCAAACATCCGGTGGTAGAACATGAAATGTTAGTTGGTCACATGTATTCTGTAAGTCATGTTACGTTGATGATGACAACTATATAGGCCATAAAGAGAAATGTGTTTTGTGTTCTTTTGTCACGTTTCCTAAACCTACAACACTAAACCTACAGCTGATAACCTTTACTTATTATTACAGTCATGTCTTCAAATACAATATATGATATCCAGAAGCATGTGAGGATGTGTTTCAGCTGCTAACAGGCACCAGAATTAAAATTGAAAATTAAACAAGTGTGGGCACTAACGCGACATCTTCATCCATCGTCACCTGCGAGCTACACATGCAGGAAATTGTGTCCGACTTAAACGCCGGCTTTCAGCCACTCCCCCTGCTGCTTCCGTCTGCTCTCATCTGTTTTCCAGGCAAGGCACAGCTCAACTCGAACACAGACAATAGCATTTTCAGTTCGCCAATCGTCAACAAAAAACACAAGAAGAAGAAAGTGTGCTTTTTTGTTGGCATCATGGAAGAGCCTGGAAGTAAAAATCAGAGAGTAATGTATTTGGAAGCGATGCAAAAGGCTAAAACCAGAGTGAACATTGGCCTGCACTCATTTAAGAAAGCTAAAGGAGGCTATGAAATCACGGACTGATGGTGACCAGGCTTTGTTGCTACTGGACTTGTAAGTAATAATATTTTTTGGTCTAAGATGTGGATCTTTTTAATTTGTGGCTTATTTAGTATTGGCTCACTCACGTTAATGTTAGCTTGTTGTTAGCGCTAGCTGCAGCAGAATGCTGCAGGGTTGTTTACAGCAGCTGTAGTTCCACTTTCAACCAGTAGGGCAGAGGAGCAGGAAACTGTTTAGTGTTACTTTAATGCACAAAAAAGTTGAAGGTTTAGGATCAGGCATTAGTGCACAAAATAATAACAGCACCAAATGCTGAAGGGATTCTCTGTTTACAGTGATAAAAACTAGAATCGGGCTCATTTTGGCTAACTTTTAGGACTTTTCTTGCTCAGACAGGAACATTTTATAACCACAGTTTGTGTCTGTTTCACCACCTGTTCTATCTTACCGTACCGCTCCAGCAGAAAGATATTTATCTACAGAGCTGCTTTATTCGGTGTGAAACAGATCGTATGTGGATGATTTTAACTTGGCTCTGATAGCACAAGGAGGAAAAAATGAGTTTTGGCATGTCTGGATATAAATCTTTGGTTTAGAAATCCACAGTATGGCGTTACACCGTTGTATCATGAAACAAGAGATCAGTCATAACAAATCGTCAAAGTAAAAGCTACTTTTCTGCGTATTTTGTATTTGTCAAAGACAAGTAAATCATCTCAGTATGTCTGCTCTCAGAGCCTTTACTTAAATAACATAAGACTAATAGAATAATTTATTATTCAAGTTCAAATTCCTCATTAAGTATCCATATTCGAGCTGAGACTGTGGAAGTTTCCCTCACATCTGTCCTGTCTGCTTTTACCTTCGTAGATTTGTCTTCACATCAGACTCATGTTATCACCATGTTAGTTTAAGGATCTGATGCCGTTTCCGTTGATCCGCGGCTGAAAAGACCTCGTCTGCGTTTGTGTTTTGGGTTTCTGCTGATGTCATGACCTCCAGCCCCGAAGAGGCAGGAAGACGTATGAACAGCGGTTAACACATGTTGAGTCTTTGGATTGAAAAACATCAGTGTGTTAGTGTTTGTTTTTAAAATATGATATTTTTATTATTCCAAATAACTAATTATTTAAAATTTTGGATTTCAGAAGAAATAAAAGAGGAATTATGAAAACTTCCTGCAGGGGGCGGCATTGGATTTTAAGTTGTAGATTAGTTAGGTTTGGCGTCAACAGATCATTTCATTATCTTGCATTTTTACATAAACACTGTTTTTAAGGGAGAGTTTCTTAGACTCAAAGATCTTTATAGAAACTCCCTGTAGCTGTGGTCAGATCTGATCATCGGATGCTAAATGTCGCCCTCTCGGTTCTCTGAGTCCAAATGAAGACATCGGATGATGAGCAGAGCTGGATGGCAGATCTATGTCAACACTTGAGTATAATAACTGTCATTATGAGGGCGACACAGAGTGGATATTGTGCTGCGCCGGCGTTTAAAGAGGGGGAAAGGCGTGACCTTTGGTGAACTGGGTCAGGCCTGTGAAGGGGTTAACACTTGGCTGTGTCAGCAGAATGATGTGATTTGATAATTCCCATAGCCTATTAACCCTCAGAGGAGCTCAGGAACCAAGCCGGAGGCCCACAGTTGCACTAATTATCCCATGATCTTTGAGTGGCTGTAAATGCCAGACTTTGGAAGGGTCAGATTAGATGTCATGTGTGGTGTTGGCCTAAAAAGTAACTCATGCAAAAAAACAATTGGAAAAACAGTGGTCGGAAGTGACAAGAACCCCCACAAGGAACACCACCTCCTGGAAAACTGAGAGGAAGCAGATCCACATTCCCAAAACTGGAGGAATCTATTTCTTTGCTGACTATCATTGATGCAACATCCAAACATCTGGGAATACTGAATCAGAATCAGAGATTTGGTTTGTATAATTAAAAAAACAACACCTTGATGGGTCCTGATGAAAAATGTTCAGTTTGTGTGACTTGTCTGCCCTCCAGTAACCACACAGATGAAGGCTCTACTGGTGGAGGTGTGAATGTCCCAGGTGTTCTGATCATTTTACTTAAACTAAAAAAGGTAATTCCTTAATTATAAAACGTTCATTAGACACTCGACAAATCCCTTTTGTTTAGAGGGAAAGTGTAAAGGTCCATGTTTTTTGTTATAAAAGAGGATGAAGTCCATATGGGCTTAAAATCATCCTGATAGATTTTAGTTTAAGTGTGAATGAGTTTGTAGTTGTGGGAGTGTCCAAGTGACTTGTACCCGGGTGATTCCTCCTCAGCCAATCAGAGTTAAGCAGGAGGTTTCCTCTGTGTGTGTGTGTGTGTGTGTGTGTGTGTGTGTGTGTGTGTGTGTGTGTGTGTGTGTGTGTGTGTGTGTGTGTGTGTGTGTGTGTGTGTGTGTGTGTGTGTGTGTGTGTGTGTGTGTGTGTTGGGGGGTGCTGTCAGGGAGTGATTAAAGACTGGGGGAGGTTAACAGGGGTAACTGGTATGGTAATGGTGGTTGCAGTAAGGTCTTCTTATCTCCAACAGTGTAAAACCCATCAGGTTGATGGGACTGAAGGCAGCAGTCTCCATCATGGTGTGAATGAATGACATCACAAAAAAACCTTTGCCAGTTTTGACTCAAGATAAAAACACAGTTTGGATTCTTTCATTCCCATTTATTCTTCAAAAAGTAACAAAGAAAAAAAATATTAAAATCTTCTAGATTTTAAAATAGAAAATCGATAACAGATTGTTCCTACTTCCCATTTTAACAGGATAAAGGTTTATATAACAAATATTTTTTTACATATGTGCAAACCTTTTCTTATAAATGATGACTTAAGTTTTAGGATCTGCATGTTTTCAGACCTGATTCTTCCTATTTGGCAGGAAACATCTCACCCTCCATCCAAAACCATGCAGCTTACATTAAAACATTAACAAGTCATATAATCCCCAGGTGTTGTTGCTCTGTTGGAGCCAAACACCATCCTATGACTTTGCACAACCTAAATATCTCCACAAATCATTTCATGTTTGTTTTGACAGAGAACCTGGGGTCCTGTTGAGGTCAGTCAACCGTGGTGCTGATGGTTTTCAGAGAGGAAGTTTCAGCAACGTATTTCAGTCAGGAGTTTGTCTGATGTGGGAACTGAAAGTTGACCAGTTCCCCCTCAAAAAGAGACACCAGGTTGTGTGGTTTGCAGCAACATTTGGATTCAGAACGTCCCTTTGATGTGCTCCCTATCGGAGCGTGACCTACAGTCTCCCACGTGTGTGTTTTGATTGGCGAGGTTACATAAGGAGAACAGGACTCTCGCCCAGGACACACGAGCATGTGGGACACGTCGTTCTGGTTAGGGTTAATATTCAGTTTACCTGGAGACGTTTGCAAACTACTGATAATCTTACCACCAGTCTTGAACTGGATGACTGTTCCAACCTGATCTGCAGCTGTTCAGTTAAAAAGTGGAAACGGTCACATTTTGGGTAATAAAATACTCAGTTTTCTTGGGATCTTCATTTTAAACAATACTGAGTCTGATGCAGCACCACATGTGTGTAACTCACACACAAACACACCTGTTTACACAGGCTTTTAAAGTAACAGTGAGCAGTTTCATGCACCTCTGCCCTGCTGGTTAAAAGTGGAATTATAACTGTTGTAAACAACCCTGCTGCAGCCTGCTGTAGCTAGTGCTAACAATGAGCTAACGCTAACATGAGCCAACTAATACTAAAATAAACTACAAAGTAAAAAGATGCATACTGCTGGACAACAAATATCATTACTTAGCAGTGTTGGGTGTAACAGTGTTTAAGTATAAAGGCATTACTAATAATTTTTTAGGTAATGGAGTAATCCAACTACTTTTCCATCATTGCAATGCCTTCACTGTTACTGGGCATGCAAAGTGGCGTGTTACTATAATGTTGCTGAATGAAGCACCGCAGCACTGCCGGCTTAAGCTGTTTTAACATTTAATCAACAATCAGACCTCTCTGTAATTCCTATTTTATATGTTAATTTTGTTTTTCCTACTAATTGTATTCTTTTTAGTCAAAATTGTTGTTACTATAGAAATTAGAATTATGGATATCAATAATAACAACTGCAATAGTAAGAATTAGGTTTGAGATATCTTAAAATCCCTAAAAACCTAAGGTGAACTCTTATGTCGTTCTGTGTTTTCTTCATTAGACACAGAGCAAATAAAGCTTGTTCTTACCTTTGCAGACGTGTTTTGTCGTCTACTGCCGCCTTTGTCAGAGCAACCGCCGATGTTAGTGGAATCACTTCCGCTTATCTGCAGGCAGCAGAGGACGATTAGACGATATCGCCTTCTACTACCCGTCCCTTCTCCATTGCCAAGTCCCATGGGTGGGACAGTGTGTACTGTCTAGTGCAGGGGTCCTCAGACCTGGTCCTGGAGGGTCGGTATCCAGCAGGTTTCAGTTTTAACCCTGCTCCAACACACCTGATTTCAATCAGCAGATGACTGGTAGGCTTCTGCAGAGCCTGATGAGCTGCTGCACAGGTGATTCAACCACTGAATTGTGTGTTGGAGCAGAGGTACCACAAAACCTGCTGGATACCGGCCCTCCAGGATCAGGATTGGGCACCCCTGGTCTAGCGTGCACTGCCCAACTTTTCAGACGAAACTCTGACGACACATAAGGTGTGAGTGCTCCAGCTCTCCTGCCTCTCAATCTAAAGCCAGGTCACCATCAGTCCGTGTCTCCCGCAACAGAAAAGGTGAACTTCTTTCTCTTCTTCTTGTGTCTTTTATTAACGATTGGCAAACAGAAAATGCTAACTGCTAGCATAACAGCTAACATCCATGAAGCAGGTAAAGACCCCCACCCCCTTGTGGGCTTTATGATTGTGTGTGTGTGTGTGTGTGTGTGTGTGTGTGTGTGTGTGTGTGTGTGTGTGTGTGTGTGTGTGTGTGTGTGTGTGTGTTTCAATGTATTTTACTTTGGGTGCATTTGTTATGAAGCACTTTGATTTTTTCTGCCAGAGGTGCTCAATAAACATCCTTAAAAACAAGATATTTTTCATAATTGATCACGTTTCTATTCTTGTTGCTGTTTATTCATACAGAAGTGAAAGAGATGGTTTTTATTTGATAAAATGAACCTTTGTTTTAGTTGACCTCATTTCCAGGACACAGTTCCTGTTCGTTTTGCTCTTTGATCTAAAACAGTCCCATTTGTTTACACTTTCATATCGTCTGAATCATGTAAAGGAGTTCTAGTTTGTTATATTTAGCAGTGGGTCAGAACTACATTTAAATCTCAACATTATACAGTCAGTCTTGTGGGAGAGCTTTTTTTTCATTTATTTCATTCAAAATTAAAACAAATAAAACATATAAACAATAAGATATACATAACAACAAAAAATCTAATTGGAATGAAAAGGAGCAGAATGAAGAAAAACATCTTATAATTTCTGCCCCCTTTCCCAGAAGAAATAATCTATACAATTTCCATTTGTCAGACACAAACAGAATCATTTAAAACTTTTTCCTGTTGTTAATTCCAGAGTGATCATGATCATTGATTTAATTTACATTTTCATAATTATTTAGTACATTCAATTTGGTACATTTTTTGAATATATTAAATGACAGGGTTTTTTTTATTTCCCTTTTAATGTTATTCCATAATTTAACACCATTTACAGATATATTGCACTCTAATTTTAGTTCTAAATCTAGGTTTTGTAAACACATCAGTTTCTTTCGGCGTGTAATTACTAGTTCTCTTTTCAAATATCCCCTGAATGTTTGTTGGCAGAGTACTTAAATTGGCTTTATACACAGTTTGTAATATTTTCCAGTCTTTTAAATCATGAAATTTCAGACATTTATATTTTAAAAATAATGGGTTTGATGGATCTCTACAGCCACTATAATTGATGATTCTCACAGCTCTTTTATGTAAAATAAATAAGGGTTGTGTATAGTTTTTGTATGTTTCTCCCCAGATTTCTACACAATATGTCAAGTATGGAACAATCAGTGAATTGTGCGATGCCAACACACCAGAAGTAGTCAGTAAAAACTTGAATCTATGTAATACTCATAAGCACTTGGCAATTTTACCTTTCAGGTAACTAATATGGGATTTCCATGTCAAGTCTTCATCAATAAGAACTCCAAGAAATTTAGTTTCTTTTACTCTTTGAATTTCATTCCCATCTATTTCCAATGACACATCATCGTTATTTTTATCATTAAACAGAATAACATTTGTTTTGTTAAGATTCAGTGTCAATCTATTTATCTCAAACCAGTTTTTAATTTTAATCAGTTCATCATTTATCACTTTAGCAACCTCCTCAATATTTGATCCGGAGTAAAACAGTGTTGTATCATCTGCAAATAGAATGGTACCGAGTGTCTTAGATACATTTACCAAGTCGTTAATAAACAAAATGAACAGTTTTGGTCCGAGGACCGACCCTTGTGGCACTCCACAATTAAGATCACATAGTTTTGATTTATGATCCTTTATCTGAACAAATTGTTTCCTTTTTCTAAATAAGTTTTAACCCATTGATAAGCCACACCTCTTATTCCATATTGACTTAATTTTCGAAGTAGTCTTGAGCGATCAATGACGTCAAATAATTTTTTTCAAATCACTGAAAACATTAATGAAGTAATTTTTATTGTCAGTTGCTGTTGATATTTTATCCATTAATTCCATCATTGCCATTGCTGTGGAATGTTTAGTTCTAAACCCACATTGTTCATTGTTTAAAATATTTTTTTCGATGAATTTATCCAACCTTGATAATACTTTTTCAATATTTTAGAAAACTGTGGAAGCAGTGACACCAGTCTGTAATTATTGAAACTATGCTTATCACCACTCTTGTACAAAGGAGTGACTTTCGCTGTTTTCATTGCGTCAGGAAAATTTCCAGTAGAAAGTGATAGATTACAAATGTAAGTGAATTGTTTAATAACAGATTCTGTGATGGTTTTAACAGTTTTCATGTCCAGGTCTTGATAATCGGTTGATTGTTTCCACAGTTTTTTACAATGTTTCGTATTTCTTCTTTATCTACTTTGTCAAGGACAATACTATTGACAGTCATTGTGCTCAATTTATCTTCTATTATTGGTTTGTTCTCCATCACACTCCTACCTACATTTACAAAAAAATCATTAAACTCATCAGTGATTTCTTTATCATCATAAATATCTTTTTTGTCCTTGACAAAGTGATTTGGAATACTGGATTTTGTTTCCTCTCTATTAGTCACACTGTTTATTATTCCCCAAGTATAGCTTTTGTGTTATTTTTATTCTAATTATTTTAATTCAAACAAAAGAAACTGTAAAAAAGTTCTCATCATTTGTCACCCTGATGGACATTTTGCTGTTTTATAATCATGTTTCTTTCTAGTCAAGAGTGCAAATAAATGATAAAACAATAATATGTTTGTGTTTAATCACTCCAGCATGAAAATCCTGCAAGAAAGTAGATAAAGGTTCAGCTGGCTCCATGTCTGTGTTTATTTGGATGGATTTCTATCAAACAACAAACTTTCTCACAATTGTAAATGAAGGAAATCTTCTTTATATTGTTTCATTATCACACATTAGATATTTTCTACTCTGTCTTTTCTGTTTTACATCATTTAGTTTGCTTCTTTTTATGACTTTAATCACCCTTATGTGAATTTTAAATATGAAATTTTAGAGCTGACTCAAATATTGAAATAATTCATCTCACGTGACTTTTTTCAGCCTAATTTTTTATTTTTAAATCTCCAGAAGTCGATCTGCCTAAAATCTCGCTCTGAGTGTAAAACCTGCAGACAAACAAGTCTGAATTTGCCTCTCCCCAGTGCCGATGTTCATCGCTCCATCCTGAGTCAAAGCTTTTTCACACACATTCCAACATGTGAAGACGGCCGGTGTGAAAAGTTAAAAAAGAGAGAGATAAAAGAAAAATGCAGAAGTGAACCAGGGAGGAGAGGAAAGAAACAGCGAGAAGAAATGAAGACAAAAGCAACGATAAGAAGATGATGGTTCAACTCTGCTGGCTTCTGCTGGTCACCTGTGTCACAGGTAGAAAGTGTGTGTGTGTGTGTGTGTGTGTGTGTGTGTGTGTGTGTGTGTGTGTGTGTGTGTGTGTGTGTGTGTGTGTGTGTGTGTGTGTGTGTGTGTGTGTGTGTGTGTGTGTGTGTGTGTGACCTGGTTGTTTGTGTGCTTGTGTATTAAATTGCTGTTTTGGGCAGCTGGGTCTGTGGGACATGTCTCATCATGTCCTCTCAGGAATGCAGTTAGAAAACGAAACACAGACATGGCAACCTTTCTGCTCAGGTGTGAATCATGATGCAGCCTCATTTATTAAAGGATTTGTTGTAGGATTACTTTCAAATAGGTATCACTTTAACCACATGTTGAAGAATGTGGAAGGAGCTTTTGAGAAATCACAGCCAGCACTTTTTTTACTTAGAAAAGAAGAAACATGTTTTGTCTATAGTGTCTTTCTAGGTATAAAACAGACGGTGCTTCACAAGCGCAACAACATTTCAAAAAGATAAAATAAAAATAATTTCATTTAAAAATTTGAGAAAAATATAAACAAAATTTAAAAAATGTTAAGTGTAAAAAAAACATAAACAAAATGTTTGTTTGAGCTGAAAACATTAAACAAGGTTTGTTATGACCTAACATTCAGTCAAGGTATGTGTGGTGTTTACTGTCACTATTTAGCACAAAAGATCTTAAATAAAAAGAAACATGAGATATGCTGTAAGACCTCTACTTTAACTACCAGCAGTTGAAAGGCTTTCTTTTATTGCTAAAGACTTCAGATTTGCTCTGATTTAAAGACATTTAAATTTTATTTCATAACCCAATGATTACCTTGAGATTTTGAGGTAAAGATTTGAAGAATAATGGCAGGTTTAGTTTTTCCTTACATTTCATGTGCCAAATCTTAGGTTTTTTTATGTGGTTGTTAGAATAGAATAGAATGGAAAATTCCTTTGTTGTCAGTGGGGGAAATTTTGTAGGACAGCTGCAATCAAAGCAAAGTAAAACAGTGCAGAAAACTACAGGAACCAGAAAGAAAAAAATTAAAGAATAAGGAGTAAAAGGCTGTACAGAAAACCAGAAAACATTGCAGAGATACTTAAAGGTGTGGTTCAGAATTTTTTATTAGTATTTCTGATTATAATCAGTCACTTATTGTTTTTCATGCAGGCTGAACACATAAATAGTCTCCTACCTCTATCTCCTGCTTTAGCTTCTGATAGAAAATAGATGGTGATGGTGGTGGTCAAGCTTGGACTCACCTATACTGGCTCATGATGGGAAGGCTGTTGTTGTTTTAGCGTCCAGAATTAACAGAGAACATTTCTGCTAACAGAAGCTAACTTTTAGCATTAGCAGCTCAACCACGTGATAGAAGCTCGTCCAGGTTTGTGTTATTTGTGGAGATAAAACATTTATGTTGTAGAGCAAACAGTGGTAGAGTGACATTGCTGTTATCCAATCAGAGGCAAGATGCCCAAATATCAGGACGTAAGACTCCAAGTCCCGTCATTTTAGTCTCTCCTCTGATGTAGCACACTTATCTGTGCTGATCCAGGCGTTTCTGGGCTTTTTTAGCCCTGAGTACAGCTTGCAAGGCATTTATTCCTACCAGAGACCACTGAAAATTTAATGATTAAATGAGTTTTCTACACCTTTAAAAAATTCACAATGTTGAATTTATACATGTTAAGAACTAAAATAAAAACCAAGATAAAATGCTGCGTGGATAAAGATGGTGGAGTATTTACAGAGCATGAGAACATGAATGGAAATCTGAGCAAATCACAAAAACAGCAAGGATGAAGGGATGCAAAATAAATGTAATGGTTTTGATGGGATTACATTAACCTCCAAATGCTAAAATTCTCCAAATCTCACTAACATCAGTGACACTGAAGTTCAAGCACACATTTTCTAAAACGGTTGCAGATAAAATGACAGATGATTTCACCTGCTTTTTTAAATGTGCATGCCTTTCTTTCCTTGCAGGTGCACTGAGCAGCATCAGCCCGTATATAAAACATTACGAAGTCCTATCATATGACCGGGAGGATCTTCACAGGAAACACTTAAGAGCCAGGAGGGCCACAAAGCTTCAGGCCGTTACACTGGAGTTGGATTTTACTGCATTTCATAGGTAACGTTCAGCTTCAGAAGCACTGAAATGTCAACAAACTGTTACTCTTTCACCAAACTCTTAGTTCTAAATTATTAAATTATGCAATTAACTAATCAGGTTATTGGTGCCTTTAGCCAGCTGATGACTGTGCTGCATTCTTCCCATCACACTGCAAAGCTTTGACCACAGCTGCTGAATGTTTTTGTGTTCATCAGATCTTTCCATCTGCTCCTGAGACCAGATTCAGAGGCATTTTACAAAGAATTCACAGTGATTGGTGAAAATGGTCCAGAGTCTGTTGAACTTTCACACTTATACTCAGGAACACTTGAAGGTGAGTATGCAAGAGTTTGGCTCAGGGCAACTGCCAACCTGCATTCAAATCTGAATGTAAAGCAACTTCTTTTTGAGTTGGTCCGAGCTTCTAGATGCTGGAAAGATACGACTGAAAACATTCTCATTTGTGATCAGATGCTGAAAAATCTTGCAGATGAAGGCATTTTTTGATAATTTTACCAACAACAGTCTGCTCCACGTGAAATGATGACCCCAACCTTAAAGTCTGAGACGAAACATCAGCATGAAGACATTTGTTACATTAAGGCTCATAATCTCGTCTCTTTTTCTAGTCTTTTGTAAAACTTGCCCCCACTCAGAACCTTACCAGTCCCTTTCCCCAGTCTGTGTTTAGTTGTCTCTGTTCAGTTTCATCTGTCTGCCCGGACTCTGTTATCTGTCTGAACTTTATCTCACAGGCGAGCATGGTTCCGCCTGTCACGGCTCGGTGTTGCACGGACAGTTTGAGGGAAGCATCCACACAGAAAATGGGACATATCACATAGAGCCATTTGACAGATACACCAGCAGCCCAACAGATCACCACTCTATAATCTACCATGAGGATGACTTGGGTAAGTGTTTTCATGTAAAGAAAAGTGGCACTAATAAAGTCATAGCCTTCATTGGAGGAGTGCAAACCCACATGTCACCTCACATCGCCAGATCAGTTTCTCACAGAAAAGGGTTGATGATTCTGAGCTGACTGGTCGTACATCCTCTCATTTTCTCCCACATATCCGGGTCGAGTCGCGGGGGCAGTAGCCTGATCAAGGAGGCCCAGATTTCTCCCTCACCAGTTACTTGGGCCAGCTCTTCCAGGGAATCCTAAGACATTCCCTGGTCAGCCGTAAAAGGTAGTCTCTTTAGCGTGTCTTGTGTCTTCCCTTGGGTCTCCTCCCTGTTGGACGTGCCTGGAAAACCTCACCAGGGAAGCATCGATGAGGCATCCTAACCAGATGCCCAAGCCACCTCAACTGGCTCCTCTTGATGTAGAGGAGCAGCGGATGGCCGAGCTTCTCATCCTATCTCTAAGGGAGAGCCCAGTCACCCTGAGGAGAAAAGTAATTTCGGCCGCTTGTTTCCGCAATCTCATTCTGTCTGTCACTACCCAAAGCTCATGCCCATAGGTGAGGGTTGGAACGTCGATCGATCAGGAAATCAAAAGCTTCACCTGTAGACTCTCTGGAGATGCAGCACCAATCTGCCTATCTTGTAGATCGTGGGTCAGTATCTGCTTAATGAGCTGAGTTATTCCCAGTCTAAAATCATTAATGCCTAACATTTACCTTTCAGCATAAAGCAATAAAAATGTTTTTGGCTCTGTGGTGGTTGTTGCTCCAGAGTTGTAAAATAAGACTGATGTATGTGCATTTGGAGGAAGAAACCATCCTATTCACACTCTAGCTGCAGCCTTTCTGCAGATGATGGGAAAGAATGCAAAAAGGAAATCTTTGTTATGAGTCGACTCCTTAATCAACACCTCACAGAATGACAAACATGCACAGAAATGCACATCTGTGTCGTTGTCACAGATCCCCGCTGCTGAATTATATCCAGCTGGGTCACTGAGGGCCAGCGAGGAGAGCAGCTTCAGTGTATCACTGGAGCCTTCAGGGGGCTGAGAGAGGGTCTCGAGGCTCTCCCTGCTTGGGCCAAAGAAAAGACAAACTGAAGGTGGTGTGATTTTTGCAAGAGGAGGAGTTGAGAATTCAGGGGCTGAAATGAAGTAGAAAGCATGGGGGTGTATTTGGACTGAAAGGGAAAAGAGGATTTTATTCATGGATGAAAAAATGTTTTTGGGGTGTGGGAATAAAATGGAGGAAAGTGAAGAAAGAAATAGTTGTTTTCAAGGGAATAGGAAGATTTTCGAGGAACTTGGAGACAATTTCTGCAACAGCGGATTGAGTTTGAATCTCAGCTGGCGTTCTTTAACCAGATGAGTCATTACAGATGTTAGAAACTAGACACCCGTGTGTGTATTTCAGCATGTGTGCAATTCTCTGGCCACCCATGGACGCTTGCATTCTTATAACCTTTGCTCTAAGAAATCATTTTACTGGGAACACAGTGCAGATTGTGCCAAACAGCCCCCACACACAAACACACATTTGTCCCCTAATCTGCACTGACTCCACAGTTTCCTCTTCGCTTCCACGTCAGTTTCTTTGAGCCAGGCTGTAGTAAAACTGTTCTTTAGTTGGCGTTGCCGTCGACAACATCCTGTCCCTTCATTCATGGCCCGGCATATCTGCAGGAAGCTGTTAGAGATTTAACCATGTGATATTACAGTAAACAATCAAGACCCCGGTACAGCACGAACAACGGTAATGTGTATCTTTTCACTTCCTGTGGTTGTCGTCCGGAGGCCTCAAGTTCTAGATGAAGAACTTCAGGCCCCTGTGGGATTGTGGATGTCAAGAGGTCCGTCAGATCTGGGACAAAGGGTATTGTGATGCGATCAAAACACCTGGTCCTGGTCAACAAAAATCAAACCCTGCTATTCTAGATCGTTATTTTGAAGAGTAAAAAGAAAATAATTGTACTTTTAACTGCCTTGTGCTTGTGGATAGCTGCTTTTGGACTTTAGTTACCTTTTGAATTTAGATGAACCAAAGAAAATTGTATTGAACCCAGAAAAGGAGGGTGGCACCTCCTGAAAGTACTTGTAGGAGTGCAAATGGATGGGTTTCATTGTAAATCAAGATATTATGGGAAATTTTCCAAGAGAATACTAACACTTTGATAAATGAATTATGAAATCTTCAACCATGATTTTTTTAACAATTTTTTTCATTCATCTTTAGGTGTGAATGAATCAATTTTCAACAAATATTTTTCGTAACATTTAATAATTTACAAATAATTTATTACATGTCCACCTCAGTGGACAGTGTGCATTCTGAACATGAAACATGTTGGCTTGACTTACAGAAGTCCAAATGGAGGGGCTCAAATGCAATAAAGTCTTCAACAGCTGTGCTTAATAGCAAAAATAAATAACAATTTTGAGTACCTGTCCACTGTAGTGACCATTATGCATCAAAGGGCTAATGTAGGCAGAGGGCGGGAAAGAGGGGTAAAATATGAAAGTTTCCCAGCCAGAACAGGAGACCTGACAGGTATAATGATGGTCCGCTATGGTGTCTCCCCAAGTGGGTAAAGCAGTGGAGTGGTACAAGATAAAACTGTGTCCCCATCAGCTGCAGACATGCACCCTGCTTAAAGTCAGTTGGAGATCTCTTGTCTGTTTTGTTTGGCCGTTTATCTGCTCGGTCACCCCTGGCCACCATTTAGATTTGTCTGTGAAGATTTTTAACATTCATCAATCAGAGCTCAGATACTGAATCTTTGTAGTAAATTCAAGAGACTCAAAACCCTCTCAGACCGGCTGAGTTACAAACCTGTGCTGAGATGCACAAAAACAGATATTTCTCAAGCTTAGTTTGTCAGTCAAACACTGAAACAACCATGATGGTTTATGATAATGTCAACAATGCAGAGGTGCCTCATGTTTAGGGGGTGCTATTCTCACATTTAGCTATGGGTCTTACTCCATAAATACACAATCTTTACAAGTTGTGCCTTGTAACTGTGGTTCACCTTAAATAATGGGTAACAATTAACTATTAACCTTGTATTTCCATTTAACGTAGTTTCATGGGAAATATGTTAATGTTTAACTAGGAATTGTTCAAATGTGGAAGAAGCTGTTTTACTTTTAATACCCCTTCAAGGGAAGAACAAGCTTTTATGCCTTTTTCAGTTTGATATCATTTAGGTGCCTGTTTCTAAACTGTATCTGTTGCTGTCAGAGGTTGACTAATAGCTGTGATGCTGGCTGAGCTCTTGGTGTTGCAGCAATACAAGAAATCTTATCAGGGTTTATTTCCCAGATCCAGACAGCAATGCTTTGGATCAGAGCTGATCCGGCTAATGCAAGTAAGGGCAGAGAAGCTGCCATATTGCATGTATGCATTACCATGTATCACTCAAAGCAAATATCTGAGGTTATGCAAAATGACAGCTATGTAAATTATTCAAACTTCATTAGTGTCAAAAAGGGGGGACTGTTAGGAAATCTGTGCGTACGAAACTTTTTTATTCCCACCAAACGTGCAGAATATTTGGAGGAAGATAAACGCGTGTTCTGATGCTGAGCACACGCTCTTATGTGTTGTCGTTGGAAGCCATTCCTTCAACAACAAGCTGTAGGGCATGAAAACCAACACCTACAGGGCACAGGGGAAACACACTGTAAGGTCATTTTTGATTTGTTTCAACATCCGTTAGGTTCAGAGTAAAGGTAGACTTTAGTTGGATGAAAGGGAACTTTCTACACCACGCTGCTCAGCAGAAAGACTGTTACACAGAAGCTGGAAACACAAGCCTTGGCAGGAACTCTGATTTTTCATCTGGGGATATCTTTCCCTGTTTAAATGAGAAAACCCATTTTGTTGTCCTCAGATATGTGGCTAACCAAGCTCATGTCATTTCAGAAAGGTTGGTGTTGATGGACAGATTTTTTTCCTACAGAAAAGAGGGAGATGTAGTCTGAGATGCAGGAGGTGAGGTCTGGAAACAATTCTGGGTTAACAACACCCAGCATTTAGGCCCCCATCAGCAGCCCCGCCCCCACCCCTTCCATACATAGGCTGAACTGTGGGTTTGTGATTGGCTGAGGGGCTGTGGGTGGATGGTGGTATTCAGGCATATGTTACGCTGAATGACCAAACTTGGTCCTGGAAGACTGAACTGGTTTCACACACTTTATGTTGAAGCCACTGCTGGTCTTTGGCTGAAATTTCCACTGATGTCCTCGTTACTCCCAGCAACACCAGTCAATCTTGGAACCAAGCCACTACAAAAAGATATGCTTCAATCCTTGACCATAAACCTAATGAACTCTTGCAACATCCTTTGACTTCTTGTAGTCAGAACACGGCGTCTCTGAAGAATCCGGCACAATCTCTGTTGCAACAGATTAAAACGAGACAGCTGTCCCAGAGGGACTGGAAATCACAGACAACTGTGTTTTAGTGAAATCCGACCAGTAGCGCATCACAGACTACTAGCTGCTGTCCAAACAGAGTCCTTCTATTTATAAAGTGTCTGAGAATGGGATTGAACTTCTGTTCAGTGTGACATGCAGCTCATGAAAGGGTTTACAGTTAAAGTGCCATCGGTCATCATCGCACACTGATGAGATTACATCACCGCATTTGACCCATCCCCATGGGGTGCGGTGAGCAGCAGCAGTGGCTGCGCTCAGGTGGTGGTTTAACTCCCTAATTACACCCCTTAAAGCTGAGTGTAAAGCGGGTAAGCATTGGGTCTTTGGTATGACCCAACTGGGATTTGAACCCTGATCTCCCAAGTCCCAGACATAGAATCCTAGACATGAGCAAATTTGAAGAGATTTATTTTAAGCTCCCTGCATTCTGGATGAGGGGGTTGAACATCTAAAACTTGAAAGAGAAAATCTAAAAGAAGGCTTTTCAGGGGAGAAAGAGTAATAATAATAATGAACAAAAAAAGGAAATGGAGGAAACAAAGAAAATTTTAAATCAGGAAATTGAGGCGGGCCAGGAACAGGTCAGGAGGAGAGAGAAAAGACAGAACAGAGTTTCCAGCACCCGAAGGACCAATGAAGTAACTAGAACCAAAGAAAGATGCAAAAGTTTTTTACATCTTGGAACAAATAAAGATGCAAATGGTTATGCAAGAAGAGACCAAAAATCTGGAGAAACAGAAATTGAATTTAGTTCATTTCATTCTTTCACCAAATCAAGTATCCCAAAACAATTTATCTTCCTTATCTTTTCTATGTTAATTATAATTTAGACTTGTACTTACACTTTATATTTATTATTTGGAGTTAGGGTCATTCATGCATGTTAGGAGGTGCTGGATTGGGGGTTCTTCCCCGGTCATAGTTGTCCCTGAGGGTTCTGTTCTGCACCAAACAGACGTGCCTGTAAGACTTTTGCAAATCAGATGTCAGCTGGCCCCAAAAAAGCAACAACTTTATTTTGGCCAATTTATTCCACAATTTCTTTCTCTTGGTCTTTTGACTGAAAAATCAGGGCTGAAAATGACATAAACAAGCATGTAAATTAGAGTCTCTGACTTCCAGTGTCTTCACCACAACAATGCACGAGGACTGTTCAAAATATAAGTAGCCTGTTCAGTTTGTTTTTCTTTTTAGCATCACATAAAAACCGAGATTTTTCTGTTTTTGTCCATTTATTACTCAAGTGATGAAATCATACTTGTGATAAAAACACAAAACACTTTAGTTTAACCTTTAAACTGCCAGAAAACATTGAAATCAAGTAAAAGAATCAACTTTCTAAAATCTTTTTGTTTGACTTTCATCACACTTGGATTTTGATCATGTGGCTCATCACAACGCTGTGTCATTGTTATGCTTCATGCTATCATCTTCTATAGGGATTCCCAAAGTGTGGTGCGGGGTGC